TTCCCTTCAAGTTGGTATGTGTAAATTGTTGAATGCTCCTTTCATTATAAACATCAATGTGTGAATATCTATAAAAAATGATAATTTTGTTATGGAGTCAACAAATGACTCCATAATAGAGTCCAGTTTTTATACACAACAAGTAAACTATACATTATTACTTAAATAAATACTAATAACATTATATAGTTTTTAAAGTTAGAGTGGAATTAACCTAACTCTAGGATAAAGATATAAATTCGTAAACAATCTAATTAAAACCGAGTCAATTCATAAGTTTTCACAATTATGATATTTTTTCGTGTATCGGCCTTAATAACTATTGATTCTAAGGGTCTATTCATAATTTTTTTTTTAAAAAAAAATAACGTTTTCCCCCAAAGATTTTTTTACACATTTTTTTTATTGATACAATAATTTGAATTTATTAATTTTTTTTCCCCAAAAAAAGTAACATATTGTAAGGTTTTACTGGAACATCATTCATAACCAGACTTTTTTGGTTGACTGTTTAAACTATGGGTCAATGGCCCATTAAAGAGCATTGGGCTACACAGCTCTTCAGACAGAAGCCCCCAAATTCTTTCTTTTGGGCTTTTACTTCCTGGTCAATAAAATCAACATTTTTCACGACGATATTCAAGTATAATTTGTCTAAGAAAATATCTAGACATGCTTACATGGTTCAACGAATTTAGTGATCATTAGAAATTCAACTAACCAGAATTGAAATAAGTTAGTTAAACTTAAATTATAATTTAAAATCAAATTATATTGTCAATAAACGATCATTTCTGAACACCCCGACTAAAATTTAGAGTGCATTTGGAAGCACGATAAACATAAAATTACATTTCATATCACAAATATGTATTTTTTTCGTAGAAAATATAACGCGCCGACTCTCTTCATATTAGACCGTCTCATATAAAAATTTATAAAAATACGATTTCTCTACAAGGCTGTCTAATAATTAACTAGTCATACTATTTTAAAAAAAAAAAAAAAATACGATTTCTCTACAAGGCTGTCTAATAATTAACTAGTCATACTATTTTATATAATAATAACAAATTAATTTAATATTTATTAAAACCGGTAAAATAGACGGTAATACTGGTTGTACCGGTAATACTGCATACCGATTGCTACACCGGTATGACGACCGGTACGGTTTTTAAAACATTGCGATAAACATAAAATTACATTTCATGTCACAGATATGTATTTTTTGTCATAGAAAATATGACGTGTCGACTCTCTTCATATTAGACCGTCTCATATAAAAATATACAAAAATACGATTTCTCTACAAGGTTGTCTAATAATTAACTAGTCATACTATTTTTTAAAAAAAAAACTAGTAGATTATGTATTATAATAACTTAGAATATAATAAATAAAAATTAAATTATATACATTTAAGAAAAAAAAAAGGTGTTAACGGTTAGTCAGAAATATTTGTCAAGTCTTAAATTAAGCGGTCCGCTCAAAACAATAAAATCTGAACAGTAGCTGCCGACACCACTTTCCCAAACCCGAACCAAACCTTCACGAACAGGCTTGGAGCCAGGTAAGGCATTAGCCTCGGTTACCAAAACCCATTTGTCGATTGTGGTTCTTCATTGCTCTTCTTCCCCACACACACAGAGATTATATTTGCCAGTTGCCATTCTCATCCCCCAAAAAGACTTTTTTTTTTTTTTTT